AAAAAGTCTTGAAGAAACACTGCTCGGCAAAAGATTTTTTGGCAGAAGGTACGAAACTCAATAGTTCTGCTAATGAGCTGTGTTAGTGTTAGTGTTAGTGTTAGTGTTAGTGTTAGTGTTAGTGTTAGTGTTAGTGTTAGTGTTAGTGTTAGTGTTAGTGTTAGTGTTAGTGTTAGTGTTAGTGTTAGTGTTAGTGTTAGTGTTAGTGTTAGTGTTAGTGTTAGTGTTAGTGTTAGTGTTAGTGTTAGTGTTAGTGTTAGTGTTAGTGTTAGTGTTAGTGTTAGTGTTAGTGTTAGTGTTAGTGTTAGTGTTAGTGTTAGTGTTAGTGTTAGTGTTAGTGTTAGTGTTAGTGTTAGTGTTAGTGTTAGTGTTAGTGTTAGTGTTAGTGTTAGTGTTAGTGTTAGTGTTAGTGTTAGTGTTAGTGTTAGTGTTAGTGTTAGTGTTAGTGTTAGTGTTAGTGTTAGTGTTAGTGTTAGGGTATTGGTTAGGGCTAAGGTTAGGGATAGGGATAGGGTTCTGTGGTTTGCTTGTTTACACACGCATGCGTAGTACTATCGAAAACATCGACGCAAATGAAGGTAGTTTCTCTCCATTGCGCATGCGATCTTATACCCTCTAGAATTGGTCTTTTTTATGTGATGAGATTGAAACTTGAAACACAGAAACTGAAAATTTTCAATCACTAAATCATGTAAACAATTATCTTAAGAACAAAAATAATTAGTATTAGCCTCGAGCTGTCAATTTGTTTTGTTTTGTTAGTACGTCACGCGTTACGGTTTAGTATTTTATTACTACAAGATTTACTTTGTTTAACCTACATCGGGTATCGTTGTAAAATCATTAATTAAAGAGAATTCCATCTATTCCGTAAGATAAATATTTGTGTTTTTCTAGAAAATAGTGCGTTTTTAAAATGCTTTTTTTTTAAATTGAAAAAATAAAATCTAATTGATGTCGTCTTAGCGGTCTTAAGCTTGAGTATGTTAAGTGAATGTAATACTATGTTTACATCTGACCATTTGGAGGTTAATTTGAATTCCCACTGTAGATGAGGCTAGATCGCTGGGCATAGCAACTCTTCTGGGAGAGAAAACTCTACGTATAAACAACTGCTGCCTTGTAGTTTGTTCTTGGTTAGACAAAAGCTATGGAAGCAAATCCAAAAAAAAGAAAAGCAAATCAGAGTCAGCGGTCCATATGACACACAACAATTTGACTCGTAACAAAGAGTAGTGTTAGAGCTAATCCTTTTTATATTAAAAAAATAAGAACAAATAAGAATACCTTGATTTAATTGGAAGGAAGGATATGTTACAGGCCATGTGAACGGAGTAGGCGGAAACAGGTTGTAGTTTAGCTTCTTTTAACAACATGTTCCTCAAGGCTTCTACTAACTTGTGCGATCAGTACCTATTCAAATGTGGTGGAGCTGGGGGCAGTTAAATCAAAGAATATTTGAGATGTTAAACGACAGTTTTTAACTAGCGTCTTGCTGGTCATCAAGCGAGTTCTAGATAACTAGGCATGCTGCCCAGCTTCGCTTAGGCTTTCAAAAACATTGAGAATTTGAATGCTTAATTAATTCGCCCGAGGGTCGGTCTACGACCTTAGGAGTTATGAAGAGGTTCCTACGTGGACAATTTTTTTTCGATTTATAGCTCATATAAGGCGCCGGTCAGTCGAGGTCTGTTTTGACCCCCTCATCGTAGATCTTTAGGCCAACCGGCACCGGCCCCCGTGTTCTGTCGCCCCAAGGCAAGATCCTGCCAAATTTGAAGCGCCTGCGGCGCCGGGAAGTGCCCGATGTCGTGCACCCGACAACTTTGCTTCATATAGTATAGAGATTAGCAAATTGCATAGATAAACAAAGATTTCCAAAGTAGTTCCTTTCTTTATAGTCTAAAATAGGAAGATTCACATATAAAAAAAACAAACTAGGTTTGACTTGGTGTGTCCCGATCCAGCACCACCTGTGTGGTATCAAGTATACTATTATCTCAGCTAATTAGGTACCTTTTAAAATATGGAGAATAAACGAAGTGTTTTAAAAAAATAACTTACGCGAATATGCCTATTTTTTCAAATTAATTGTTACCCATAATTAGCCAGTTTCATTGCTAAACAAACAAAGATTTCTATAAAATATTTAAGTCCTGAAAAAGTTTATCATAGAAATTTATTTTTGGAATAGATTCTACAGTAGATAGAGTCTAAATCTAGATCTAGAATAGATCTTAGCGACGTAGCGTCTAAGTGTAGTTTTTGCGTAGATTTAGATCTAGTCTAGATCTAGAATCTCTAGATCTAGAATCCAAATAGATAAAATAATTTTTTTAAGTTTAGGCCGAGAATATCGTATTGTATAGTCTACATTTCATAGCGTACATAGCTCTAAATCATATTTGAATGAAATAGTTCATTTTTTTAAATTCTAAACTCGGAAAATGACGTCATCAGTTTCGTGCTCTTGTTTTAGTGTTTTAGTGTAAACAATAAGCGACGTCATTGTTAAATGCGTTCTTGTCCCACGTTTATACACTTTTCCGGTTGCATAAATAATACTGTTTCTCTATATTCGAATACGCCTTTATTTTTTTATTTTTTTTTATTTAAATAAAATTGTGGTTATACATTTAAAACATCTAACATATTATTTTCAACAAAAGTCCGTAAAAAGTTCTTCATATATCGCTGCCGATTCTGACGTGATGTCCGGCGAAATTTTTTTGCGGACAGACAGAGAGAGAGAGAGACAGATGTGCGAACGTGGCCCATTATAGATTTAGATTGGAATATAATATCTCACAGCCCCACGTATGTTGGGAGTCTCACAATATTTTTTCGAATAAGCAGCGGTTAAAAATTTAATTTAATGTTCCATTCTTTGCCCCAAAGAAAATTATGTAGATCAAAGAACAGGGTTGATGGTCATCAAGAGAGTACTAGATACTTTTGATGTAATGTGGTTATCACGGTCACAGAATTATATACAAGCTAAACTATTTATAGATTAGAGCCCTCGCTATGTTGTGAGTCCTCAGATTTTTTTTTCGAATAAGAAGCGGTTAAATAATAAATTTAATGTTCCATTCTTTGCCCTAATGGAAATTAGGTAAACCATAGAACAGTTTGGGTAACATAATATTTGGGCTAGTGGTAGGGCACTTATCTTAAATAGCTCAGGCTCTTATCCACTATAAATATGTCCATGATCTGTGGCATAGTGAAAACCAGTGTTTCTTTCAGACTTTTTTCTCAGTGGGGGGGGGGGGGGGTGGATGGAAGGGTTGGGGGGCACTTAATATTTGGGGGGGGGGGCGGACAACATTTTCCGGGGGCGGACGGTGGACACAGGTAAAAGTAAAGGTTTTCTATTTTTCTATATAAATTCCATTTCGTTCTGTGGGGCGTTAGACTTTCTTCGGGGGCGCTGCCCCTCCCCTCCCCGAAAAGATGCCTGGAAGAAACTGGTGAAAACGATAGTGCAAGTCACTTTTTGTTTTACTATGTAGTTATTTGCTTCATTTAACACTATCACGCCTTCATTTAAGGTAATATGTGATGTATATAATTATAAAGTGATGATAGTGCAAACAAAAATAAAAGATGTAATTTATATCAATGTTTTTGTAATTATAAGGTCATGAGAGTAAATCACTTTAAAAATATTTATTTAAATTTATTTTAAAAAAGGTTTTAAAAAATCATGATTGGGCATTATATTATTTGTTAATCACATTACTCGCTTTATTTATTTTAATTAAGTTATTAGAGGGAAATATATTTAGATAATTAAATCACGTGTTGATAATTTATTGTTTTTAATTAACTAACAAGGTGGAAAATTATTTTGTTAATTACATCACGATTTGTGCAAGTCACTTTTTGTTTTACGATGTAGTTATTTGCTTCATTTAACACTATCACGCCTTCATTTAAGGTAATAGATGATGTATATAATTATAAAGTGATGATAGTGCAAACAAAAATAAAAGATGTAATTTACATCAATGTTTTTGTAATTATAAGGTCATGAGAGTAAATCACTTTAAAAATATTTATTTAAATTTATTTTAAAAAAGGTTTAAAAAAATCATGATTGGGCATTATATTATTTGTTAATCACATTACTCGCTTTATTTATTTTAATTAAGTTATTAGAGGGAAATATATTTAGATAATTAAATCACGTGTTGATAATTTATTGTTTTTAATTAACTAACAAGGTGGAAAATTATTTTGTTAATTACATCACGATTTGTGGGATTTTATTGTTTTAATTACGTTACAAAGTGAAAATGTTTTTTGAAAAGTAAGTCATAGGTCAGTAATTTATTTTTCATAATTAAGTCAGACCTTGGTTCTTATCGTATATTAATTTATTTACAATTCAGTTTTTTTTTTAATTTGTTTATTATGACAAGAGTTGTGACTATTTATTCACGATTTATGTTAGTCTTTTAAAGAAAACTGCAAACCTTGTCTCTAAATCAATAATTGTTTGTGTTTGTATGTGTGTATGTTTGTCAGAGTGTCTGTGTGTTTATGTGTCTATGTGTACGTGTGTATGCGTATCTGGATGTCTGTCTGTATGTGTGTATGTGTGTCTGTATGTCTGTGTCTGTATGTCTGTGTCGGTTGGTCGGTCGCCTTATCTACTAATTTTATTTCAAGCGATAACACTAAACCTTTTTTTTAAAATCAGTAACCCTTTTCACTATGTTTTTACTAAACGTGTGAAGTAATGCCTGTGTCCATTTAGATATCCCCTGTATACAGAACAAAGATAACAGTTAACTTTATCTCAACTTCCTTGTAACATTTAACGAAAATGTAAGATAGTAGGCCAACTTGTCAGCAGAATATAGTTCCGCTTTGATAATCAGCACACGTACGTTTTATTTGTGTAATGAAACGCTCATTAAAAAAGAGTTACATGCTTATTATTTCAAATTATGCGGAATATAGAGTGTTATTATAAATAATTTAATATAGTACGTGCGTTATAATTGATTTTAAAACTGTATTATACCTTGAATGCAGCATTATGTAGTTATTTAACCGTCTTATTAAATAATGAGCGCCAGGATGGTAGTGTTGTTTAGCCTAGTGGTGACATGTCTACCACGACATGATAGTGGTCTGCCACAAAATGGTATAGCCGTTATGTTCGTGAACTCAACTGACTACACGACTCACCTGGTTGTGCCCATACTGTTTAACTATAGCACGTTCAGTGAGTAAGTACACGTCTAATTATTTCATTTTATTATACAGTATTTCATGTTTATAAGTACACTTTAGAATATATATATATATATATATATATATATATATATATATATATATATATATATATATATATATATATATATATATATAAAAATATATAAATATAAATATATATATGTATATATATATATATATATATATATATATATATATATATATATATATATATATATATATATATATATATATACTGTACATATTACCTATCCATATTAATCTCCATATTCGGCTTACTATCCTAATACAAATGCCTATCGTTACTAACCTCTATTTTAATTTTCCTATCGCTAACCCCAACCGTAACCCCAATTTCTATTATATATCCCTATGCAAATCCGTTGCCTTTCACAATACCCTTCACTTACCATATTCTTATTACCTAACCTTTATGCGAAACCGAGCCCTACCCTTACTCTAAACATAACTTTTTTTCAACCTGTTCCTAATAAGTCGCTATCCATTTCTCCTTGACTTAATAATGGCCTGCATTTTTTTTTTGGTGGAAAAAAAATGAAGAGGGCTAATTTATAGGGGGCGTGAGAGGAGGGGTTTAAGGGTTGGGGTGTGACATTGGTTCAAAAACACGACATGAGAAAGTGAGGGGGTTAATTGACGGGGGAGGTAATATCCTGCTCCAAATTGTATTCAGATTGTCACTATTACAGTCATTAAGAGAGTAATTGCAAAATACCCAAAAATATGAATTTTACTACTTTAAACCTTGTATTAAACTGTATTATAATACTTTATACTATTTTACTATTTCATTTTACATTGAACAAAATATTTGTTTCTCGTGTTTTTTTGTTTTTTTTAACATTCAGTTATAGTAGTCACCTTTGGTGTATCTGTTTTTTCTTTTAATAATATATTATTTTAGTATCAGACATTTTAAACTAAAATACAATAAGAAATATACATTTTTGCAAAGATTGTAACAATTTATCAATGATACTATATTTTTAGCTTTTACGACTGCTTGCAATCTGGACATGATTCATGTGGTGGTCACTACAACAACGGTAGCGTTAGCAATGTCTACCACATCGGTGAAGTCTCAAACAGTTCACATATATGTTACTACTGTATGGCGTGGTACAACCAACACAATTTCACATGCGAAAGAAGGGAATTTAATGATAACAGCTCGGATTTAAATGTATTTTCGTTTTCTTTCATCGATGAAAGTTGTGTTCATTTAGTTAAAACGCATTGCGGAGAATATATCACATTTGTAGGCATTAATATTACATCGTGCATGAACTCTGCCTCCACGGGTTGTGTAAAGAGAACAAATGTAGTAGATCAAACATCTACTGAACCTTTTTTGACTGGAGAACAGGTTTCTTCAGGCGATATCACAGACGAGCAGACTTCTATAAGGTCTACAAGCATAGTTCAATCTACGTCAGCTGTTACGCCAGAAACAGTAAACGACACCGATAAAATAACCACCAAATCTTCCTTGACCAAAGAACAGTTTTCGTCAAGTGATATCACACACGAGCAGTCTTCTGTTTCATCTACAAGTATAGTTCAATCTACATCAGCTCTAAAGATAGAAACAATATATGACACCGATAAAATAACCGCCAAATCGTCTTTGACCGAAGAACAGTTTTTTTCAAGTGATTCCACTGTCAGGCAGTTTACCGTAAGGTATACCAGTAAAGAACAATCTACATCAGCTGTTCAATCCCAACCAGTAGCTGACCCCACGATTATTGCCGTTTCTGTTACCATCCCCTGTGTTATCTTTATCATCGTCATACTCGTTCTTATATGCACCAGAAAAGCTTTAATCCGGAAACTGCGAACGCATCGAAACACGAAGCAATGTACGGAAGCTTCAACACTACACACCGTAAACATTGATCTTCCTGCATCTGATAGTGTACAGGCTAACATTATACACGAACTATCTCAATGTAAATATACTTTTAACGAAAAACCTAATGAAAATCAAAATGCTTCGACACATGAATCTATAATTACTACTTCATTGGATGACGCTCCAAATCTTGAAACAGAAAACACTGGCATCGCTCTCTACAACAACATTCAAAATAACAGTTCTGTAGTGTATACAAATGTTGAGGGCACAAATGATAATGGGAGTTGTATTCGTACATACAATAAAAACGTTGAAGCCCATACTTTGCTTGAAGATTTAGATGGGCAGAATAGTGGGACAGTTTACTCTAAACTGGGTGAGATCAAACGAGTGGCTGACAATCCTTACAACAAGCTGGCGAGTGTTGAAGGGGTTTGTGATGGTCTGTGATTCACTGATACCAGTCCAGCGTCGGACATTGGTCAGATGGGTGATCTGCAATCGAACAATCACAATTGATTTGCAGTCACTTATTCTTCAGGCGGAGAATCTTCAGTTTGATATTGCGACGGCTCAGGCTAAGAGTTCGCGAATCTACAAGAAGGCTGACGGGTCTGGTTATGTTTATTTAGGTGGTGAAAAGTTACAAGATGATTCGGCTGTAAATATGAAGACAAACAAAACCAGCACTAAAATGGTAGAGCATATCAATGTTAACCCGAAAGACCAGAGTTCGAATACGGGTTAACGTTCATATAACGTTGCTGAGCCCACCCAGGTATTATGGGAAAGTAAAGGCGGCTGGGCATAGTATTGACCACACTATCCCTTCATATACCGAGGTTACAGAAAAACGTTAACTCTGTTTCATTTGACTCATAAAACAAAGTGACAAAGGCGCGGTAGAAACGTTACCTGTTACGGATCAGTTGTAGGTTAGATAGATATAGGTTAGAATAATCTAGAATTAAGGGGAGAGTGCGTGTGTGAGTTGAGTTTACCCTAGAGTATTGTTAACCCCGGTGTGTTTATGTATTGTTATCCCAAGGTTGAATGCAGTTTAAAACCTGGAGTGAACGGTTGTAAGGGTTAGTTGGTAGCGGTTAGTGCTAGGTCGACCTTGTAACGTTGAAAGTGAAACTAAATAAAAGTATACTATATGTGTCACGAATCGTTGTTGAGTTGAATCAAACCCGGACGTAACATTACCCATTACAGAAATTTACCAGAAGAGAGCCAAATGTATCTATGTATAGACAGAATATATAATTCACATAAAAGCTATTACACAAAACAAATAGATAAAGTGACCACGTCAAGTAACGAGGGACATAAATCACACAAAAAACTTGATTAACAATTACATTTCAACATTTTATTATCCTAATTGTTTGCTTTTATTACGAATGTTAAAACTAGTACTCTTATTGTGCTTGTATTTAATCTATAGTCGCTGCCTTACTGTGTTTTATCGAAAAATGTAAATCCCCATTCAGAAACTGCAGTGTTGTAGAGGGGAAAACTTGCACTTGAGCTTCATGCCGTACAGCTTCCAAAGTACAACAGAGCAAGGAGGTTGAGGGGTATTTAGTAGTTCAATGGAAAGTACAGTGCAGCCGGACTGAAACAAGTGGCACCGAATTATTTCCTAAATAAATACGCTATAAGTATGTTCACATAATTTTAAACCCGTTCGTTATTTAATAGATCAACTGTCCTGTTAAGTCGACAGATATGTTTTACAAATATCAATTATTTTTTTTAAGTTTCTCTTGTGATATTTGCAATAATATTTTTCCTTTTTAAATTTTATAGTTCTAGAATGATTTTTTTTCTTAGTAAACAACGATCGTTTCTTTATATGGGAGGGGGGCATTGATTTCTATTTCCGCCTCTGATTAACCAAAACACATACACCCATGTAATTACTGACAAATACTCAGATCTCACAATACACTTAATACCCAGAACTAAGTGACAATCAGACACGTCAGTTTTACTATAAGTAGTTTTAAAACATACCTACAAAAACCAAAACAAAGCATAGCCTTTCGAAACCATACGCTTAGTACAAACACTAAATATAACCATATATACAAGACTAGGAAGTGAATTAACACTATCCACGCTTGATATCTGCCCACTAATAGATAGCAATATCACCTGAAACTGATAGCAAATCTTCATGTCGTACATATTTCATGTCACATGTGCATAGACATCGTATGTCGTGTACACATATACAGGCATTATATGCAGGGGCGTAGCGAGGGGGGCGAGGGGTGCGGGTGACAACATTTAGGGAGGGTGACACCAAGGCAGAAAATAGCAAAACATAGAGAAAAATGATAATTCCGCTGAATTAAGTGATTAATTCGAGTGTTAAATAGTCTTTTAGAAAGTTTCAGAGGGGGGGGGTGCAAAAAATCGAAAATTGAAAGTTTGTCCCCGGGAAGGGTCGCTACGCCTCTGGGGGGTGACACCATTAAGTGCCGCACCGGGTAACACCTAACCTCGCTACGCCACTGCTTATATGAGTGTATTGTTAATCTTGCTCCAAGAGGTTAAAATAACAGTAATCCAAGTTAAACACGTGTATCTAAGTATATAACTGAAGGGGTGGGGTCATTTCTTTTTTGGCACGTCTAATTGTTTTTTTTCCTGTGGAATATCTCTAACTACTAGTCGTATTCTTGTTACCTATTCCAGGATATGATACTTCTGAGCATTATTATATTCACCCCTCTGCAAAAAGAGTTCGCGAATGTTTCGAACAGTGTGTTTTGTAATAGCATAAGTAATAAATAAAATACAACTCACTTTTTGTATATGCACTTTTTACATTATTAACAGTTGAAATTACTCTCGAAAGTTGTTCGTCAATTTGATTTGCTAACATCTATCGTGATTACATACCTTGGTGAACTCATTCTTTGAGCTCATGGGACGTAACCCAAAAATAACAAAGCAACTAATTATACCGAGTTAATTCCTCTCATATGTCAAAATGTCTTAACTCACTCTCAGAATTTACAGTTTCTCAATAACATGTTAATTTCCATCTCGCGTTTATTCGCAAATATAAAACATGTTTTGATACTTATTCATGTTTAGTATTTTGTGAGAAACGTTTGTAAACAAGTTTCTTTCTAGAAGCGGATGACTATGATGTCGAGAATAAATGCCCAATAGAAACTCTGTACTCAGGTTATCGTATTTGCCTATAAACACAGAGACATACGATTTACAAAATCCGTTTTTTTTCAGATTCAAAAAATGTAAAACGTCGAACTTTGTAATAATCTCATTTCGATTAATGTTGCACGATTATTAAACTTCCTATATAATCCGTATTCAAGAAAGTAAATGCTTGTAAACTTATTTTTTAAAAGACGAATAGCACTAACTTCAACCTCGTATATGATGCTATCATTGTATAAAAAATAATATCTATTAACCAGCATTATGTAATGGTACATAATGAAGCTTGAAAATTAACTATAGAATCCAGTGGCGTAGCTAGGATTTTTGGGCCCCTTTAGTGGGCCCTCAGAGGCGTAGCGACCCTTCCCGACAAACGGGAACAAACTTTCGATTTGCACACCCCCCCCCCTTCAGACTTTCGATTTGCACCCCTCCCCCCTCAGAATTTCGATTTGCACCCCCCCCCCCTCATCTCAAACTTTCGAAAAAGGGTCTTACTCTAGCTTTACGGTAGCTACGCCACTGATAGAATCCCTTTTCATGTTTGTCCCCATTATCATGTAACGTTATTTCACTGCGCACCGGAAATATTCCATTTATTTCCCTTACAACCTGAATAGAAAATGTTGAGGTATTTACCATTACGCACCTTTACCGTCTGAAATTGTTTACATTAAAAAACAAAACAAGTCCTTAATATTTAATTGATTAGCGCGCGCGTGTGTGTGTTTGTTTGTGTGTGTGAAATTTTCATTTTCAAACTCAGACAACAGGTTCCAAGTGTGGAAGTGTGTATGTGCGTCTGTGACTGCGTCTCTGTGTGTGTTTGTGTGTAGTTGTGTGGGCGGTAACACAATCTACTTCTACATTTACAACACCTTTGGAGTTGTGTTCGCCTTAAAACATCTGTATGCCAACAAGTGCTTAGCGGCCTACTTTTCATTTTGAAAATTGCATTTAATGGAAACATTAAACACAATGTTGACTGTTACACGTAAAGATTTGCCATGGACTTGTCAAAAAAAAAAGGCTTGCCGGCATCATACACTTCCTATCTTAGACCGGAAGCTGCACGGCGTGATACCTTAAGAACCGGAACTTGAAATGCATGACATTTTAAGAACCGGAACTTGAACTGCTTGAAGGTAATGATTACAAAATTACAGAATATGTTGTTTTCTTTAGCCAGGGAGTTTGAATATTTTCAATAGTTCAATGACACTGGGTACTATCGAATATATTTTGTGATTTGGTAGTTATATGTCGGGCGGGAGATACAGAAGTAACACAAATACCCAACATTTTTTATAATGTTTGCTTTAATGATGAGTTTCTTTAGTTAACTGGCGAAAATTCTGAATAAGTAAATGTGTGTTGATTACATCCCAAATTAAAATGTTAATAAGAAAGATAAAAAAAATATTTAACTATGAGAGTTGAATGTCTAAAACAGTTTTCCTTAGTATGTTTGGAAAAAGACCAGCTTTTTATTGAAATCTGTTGTCTTGGTTAGGGAGGGGTTTGTATACACGTTAAAACTATTATAATTATACTTCTTCTTCTTCGTTCTGAATTTTATTGTTGGAAGGGATCCCCTCCAGCACATTAAGTAAACGTCAACTGATTATGTGCCATGGAGGCCATTGAGTCCGATTTCAGCCTGCTTTTCAATTATATTGCAATTAATCGGAGTTTTCGAGCGAGTAAGCATATTATTGCTAACTTGAAAGTCCTAAGTTCGAAACCTTGGGTAGATGAGTCTCGTCATCTGCGGACAGCAACCCATTTAGGTAAGAAAACTCCAAAATCAAGCAGGAGTAGAGCCTCCTAGGCGATAGGATGACCAACTTTGGTTTACTTTCAGTAGCTCCAGCAACACGCCCGATTCCATTAGCTGTGTGGAGAGAGGGGGTCTGATATATAAGCAACATCTGGCTCTTTTCTTCTTAGGGCCCAGGCTTTGTGTTTGGATTTACAATGCGCAATCATCCAATGGTTTATTAGACTACGCAGCCATAAATAATTTTAATAAATCTAAACGCCGGCTTGGCAAGGCAGGACAGCACATTATTGCCGACTGCTGAAAACTCGCCTTCGGAACACAGGTAGAAGAGGCACCGTAGTTAAAGACAACAAACATGTAGGACGTATCCACCCACCTGACTCTAATTAGGGAAGCCAAGGCAGCCAGGCGTAGGGATGATCACACTATCCACAATGTCGAGTTCATAAAACAGATGAATTTTAGTTCATAAAACTCACGAGTCTGCGGCGAAAACTAATGATGATGATTGCTAAGTAGGCCTATAAATAAAACATTTTGCTCAGTTAT